ATTTTGAACAGTAATATATGACTGTGCTTCTATTTTGGGGGAGTCTGACAAAGAACAGACAGAGGGCTAAAGTTGTAACATTCCGAGAAAAGATACATCTCTGCTGAGAAAAAGAATTCTCGGTTTATTGAGTGTGGAACGTCGGGCCGCAGTGCGAATGACAAATGCTGTAGACATCCGGGGGTTCAAGATTCGTGATTGTGTTCATTTGCATTCGGAAGCAGTGAAATTTGAATCACGACATGAATAAGAGGAATCAGTGAAAGATGGTTAAAATCTTGAATTCTACTTGGGTTCGATTATTTGAGTTCAATGTGCAACTTCGGCTTTCGGGGCGAGAGATTCGTCAGATAACTGGTGTTTACCAACGTTTCGGTAAACATTGCAATTCTCGTCATACAAGATTTTATTGCATCTGGTCCCCGCGAAAGCCTCAAGTCTTGTGATTCCATTTTGACTCGGCTTGTCGCGTTGCAGTTGCCATTTTCAAGGTCGATGAGACGAAGCATCGGTAAACATCAAATGTTCGACTCGGCCCTCACCCGAAAGCTGATGTTACGCAATGAACTCCAGCAGCGAAAACCTACGAACAAATATTTATTTGAGATTTGGGTCTCACATCAACGAAGATGTTAAGATCGTCTGTGTTGTGGTGTCGTGTAATCTTGTAATGGTTACTAATGTTTCGGATTAACGTATTGATTCTGTCTTCAGCACACAGGAAACTGCAGCTGGAAATTTATTTGTTGCTTGAAATTGTATTTACGTTCCTGTAAGAACGTATTCTTTAAATACAGATACAGCTTCGATGTTTTTTTTTTTTGCGAGTTTACTTATACACATAGGTATGTTTGTAATCGTACAGTATTTTATGTCCTTACATTTCGTGTTCCATTAATTATCATTATCATACTGAAAGCTAAGTACAAATATTTCAAGGCCGCCATATTTTTGTGGCCTGTCTAATACAGCAGGCTATTACAGGACAGCACTTAAAAAATTTGTACTCCTCCCCCAGTATTGTCAGGGTGATTAAGTGAAGAAGAATGAGATGGGCATGGATGGGGCAGGAGGTGTGCACCGGGTATTGGTCGGGAAGCCTGAGGGCGAGAGACCGCTGGGGAGACCTAGACGTAGAAGGGAGAATAATCTCAGGCAGGATCTATCGGAGATTGGAGTTGAAGGCGATTGGGTTTTGCTGGCCGAGGACAGTGACCGGTGGAGGGCTTCGGGTTCCCTAAGCCATCTAGTTATTACAGGACAGCAAAATGGGGGGGGGGGGGGGGGA